TTATTATTTAAAATATTTGCCTTTTGAATATGCACTTGGCACACATTTTTTGACTTGGGACAAGATAGATCTCCTATCCATAATATTTGCTTTGCTTTTTGCTTTCCAACAGGCAATTCCAACTCTAACCCTGCATTCAACTCCAATTAGTCAGAGCTTCATCAGATCGGATGGTCCCTATCGGCCATCCGGTCGACTCGTACAACGATCTTCAGCTCTTACGCACAATGAGAGTGGCTCGTCAGCGCGATATAGTCTACACCGAGAAAACTATCAGCGCCAAAATCATTACCAACACCAGCATCGACAGACATATCCTCATCATTCACAGCATCACCCAAATCGGCCTCAATCCCAAGGCTCGATCTCTGGTCAAGACGATCTTGGAGTAGGCACTAGTCTTATATCTGTTTCTAGCTCTAGTTCGTGCCAGCCAGCAAGCGGGAGTTTAATTGGGCAGCGATCACATGGCCCTTCTTCTATTTTGCACCAATTTAGGCGACAAGGCTCTGGTGGTCATAGCAGTCATACCCAGCAAGCACAAATGCTTCCGACTCTGCAACAGCAACAAAGACAACGACTTCCAAAGCAGAATGATCAATTGCAACATCAGGGTAATGTTCTTGTACGAGAGTTCAGCAGCCACTCTCACCCTCCCGCTTCCTCGAGATCGTCCGAATTGGCTGCTAAAATGGATACCCCTATTTCCATTGAGGTCAGCCTTAGAGCATTCTCCCTTAAGTTCAGAATGTACGATAAATAAGCATGTTGGCTCGAATAAACTGAAGAGGTTGATTATGCAGATCCATACTGATTACCAAATTCACATAGCTTTATATCGATTGCATACTTTACAGTCATCAGATTTTTCTTTCTTACCTAAACTATGATAGATTTTCCTGCATTTCATATAAAACGAGTAAAATCCGAAACAAAACCCACAACATCTTCGTCTTCACATCTCAAGTAAAATGCAATTATTTTTTATAAGATATTCGTCTCCTCTTTGTGGGTTTACCTTGACTAGGTTTTTTTATTAAAGTATAATCCAATAAGGTCGGATCTGCACCTTCGTTGGGTGTGACCTTAACTTTCCCTATGCCTGTCACCATTACGCACATGGCTAATTTATTCATCGACGAAACTATTTACATCTCTTGTTGCTTTATTTCACAGACTCCAAAGGACCAATGAATAATTCAAGTTAAACTTGACAAAATGTCATTGAAAAAATTAAGCATATCTAAACTAGGGATGACTGTCAGATCATTAAACATCAGGTGAATTTAAATTGTTTCTTTTACTAGTACACCATCCATTGTAATCCTACTAAATGACTTTCAATTAGGTGCAATGTACCATTTGGTTCTATATTGGATTGCGTTTCATGTCTGATTTATACTAATGCTCCATAGAAATTATCAATTTAGGTCTCCTTTAATAGTTAGAGTCAGTATATTCATCATAATCAAAGACTATATATATATATATATATATATATATGATCATCTATCTACTTCCGATTAACAAGTAATATGTATTGTGCCGAGCAAAGAATTTATGCTGCTTATTATTAATAAGATCAATTCTTGCAAAACAATTATCATCAATCAAAAGAATGGAGATCAAGATGATATGGTCTTTAGTCTGGTCGTGTTTTCCTTCCTTTGTATAAAAGTTGTTTGACCACGTTTTCACAATTTGTTCATATTGGCAGGAATACCTAGAAGAGCGCATCTTGTCCGGAGTCCATAATATGCATGGCCATTTCCAGAGTCGGTCGCTGATTTAGTACATTCCTGAACGTTTCACCGGCATAGAAACCGGCATAGAAACAATCGGAAACCAAAACTAGATATTTGTTAGTGAGCCTAACCAAATTAGGTTTAACGACTATAACAATTGGGATTTGGCACACAAGAGACTAGGGCATAGAGAAGTCATTATGGATAAAAGAACAAGAGACGCGGCGGAAAACAAAGATAGTTGGCTATTAGTAGTGAAGTTTGCTCATGTATATGGCATGTAAAGAAAAGGCTTGATCACCGGATTTACTTGGTGCATATGCCGAACTGTGATAAGGGAATCTGTAGCATCAAGTTAGGTTTCTATGCTTCTTGAGAATCCAGACTAACGGCTTTCTCAATGAGTCTGGCGTATTCGTGCTATCAAGGGCTTGGGGCGGAGTGTAGAACATAATGCTTTGATCGTAGGTATGAAGACCAAGATGGTGTGGCCTTTTGTATGGTCGCAGTCTCCTGTCGTTGTATAG